CGTTTTCTGTGTCAAAAGGATGTCCGTTCTAGAGGCTCATAGGCATCACTGGTGAGATGTTGTAGAACTATGTTGAGATCCCAAGCAGGAGCCTTGAATTTCTTTTGTTGGGCTTCCAACTTGAACGAGCGTAGTAGTGCCAGTATCTCTGGTACTTTGGTCAGCTTGACACCCGTCTTCATGGTGATAACTGTGCTGAGAGCAGCCAGGTACGTTAGAGAGTGTTGAACCTTTTAAGTGTCTCATCTGTCGCAAATGACACAAGTATTCCGCCACTTTAGGATGGGTTGCTTTTACTGCTGTAAAGTCTTTCCTTGTTGCATACTGTTCAAATCTCTGCCACTTGTCATCGTACAAGTTGCGAGTTGATCTGCGTAGAGCTAGTGTTTCTGCTTTCGCTGCTCTGGCGGAGTACCCTCTAGTCTTCAGGCAAGCTTTGATACACTTCACGCGTGTAGCTGGAACAATGCCGGATTCCCGTGAGCTTGCTTGGTGTGTGGATGGACGAGCAGGTTCGACCGCTTTGGTAGCTTCAGGGTTGGACTTCCGAGTTCTTGTATGAGGGCGCGACCAAAATCAGTTGCAGCGTTGTCGTCTGCTTGATTTTCTGTATTACTTGTGGTAGTAGTGCTGGAGGTGGATACGCATAAGCGTTTAGTCCTTCCCATGAGATGCTTAAAGCGTCTGTTGCCCATGCCTGAGGATCCGGAATCGGAGAGACGAATGTTGGTAGTTGCTTGTTGAACTTTGTTACAAACAGGTCTATCAGTGGAGATCTGGGTGTAACATCCACTCTGTCGGGGATGGTTGAAGTGGACGAGATAGGGCGTCTGCTATGACATTCTTTGCTCCTGGAATGTGGCATGCCTTCATTTAGATGTTCAGGTCGTCGACGATGTTGAACAGGAAAAAGCTGAGTTGTAGCAGACTTGTTGATCTTATTGATCCTTGTTTGTTGATGTAGAACGCTACTGTGGAGTTGTCATTGTGGACCATGAGCCTTGTGTTCTTTAGTACGCTGGACCAGTGTTGTAAAGCATTGATCACTGCTTTCATCCCCAACAGGTTGATGTGCAGACTCTGATCCTGACTCGACCACTTCCCCGCTGCCACTTCGTTGTCGAGGTGGGCACCTCATCCTTGTAGCGATGCATCTACGTAGAGATGAGTGTTGCAAACCGGCTCTGTCAAAAAGTTTCCTCCGCAAACATTCGACTTCCAAGTCCACCATAGGAGGTATGGTTTCAGTCTGTCCGGTAGTATCAGCAGATCCAGACTGTCGAGATGGGCGTTCACAAATATTTGCAGTGGGCGCAGTTGTAATCTCCCTCTGTGAGTCATGTCTTGAGCTGAGGTGAGTAGACCGAGCATGCTTTGCCAAGCACGTAGTGTCAACGGAGAGAGCATTGCTTGAGATATCATATGTTGTATCTTGACCCAACGATCCTCTGGGACGACTATGCGATTCACCGGCGTGATGAGTCGCATTCCTAGAATTTTGAAGATCCTGTTTCGGCTCCAGTTCCGACTTGAGGAGATTTACCAGCCATCCTAACTGAGTGAGAAGCCTGATGGTGAAGTCTAGTTGCAGTCTGAGTTGACTGGGATCTTGATGAGCTTGAATCCCGTCGTCCAGGTAAAACGCACTGCGTAGACCTCGATGATGTAGATATGTGATGATTGGCTTTGTCACTCGAGTAAACAACCAGGGGGCCGACGATATTCCAAACGGTAGAACCTTCCACTGGAAGTGATGTCCGTTGAAAAGGAATCTTAGGTATTTCGTTGAGTCTGGATGTATCGGGATGTGTAGGCATGCATGTTGAAGATCTATGCTGGCGAGGTAGTCTGATGGACGAACTAGAGCTGAGGAAGATGTATCATCTTGAATTTTGCTGGTCTGCGAAGGTACTCCTGGTTGAACTTCCTCATGTTGTAGATGAGCTGAAACTTCTCCTTGGAATTCTTCTTCGGTACCAGTAAAATTGGGGAGTAAAAACCGGGCGTGATGAGATCTTGATTTATTTCTTCTACTGCATCTTTGTCGAGTAGAGTCTTGACTGCGTTGTCCAGTTTCTCTGTCTGGTCGGCTGTGTATCTGAAGGCCATCGGGTTGCTTGTAAGCAGCGGCGTGGCGTCTAACTGTATCTTGTACCCTCTGTGTAGTATCTGGGATATGTAGTCATCCTGTAGTATTCCCCAATTCTCCCAGTACCATTGAAGACGTCCACCCACTGTCGAAGGTTGTACAGGAACGGCTAGGGGTGGAAGACTCCAGTCGTTCCAAACCTGTCCTTCAGCCCTTGGTTCCCCTGGTACCTCTGGGTGCTCGGCCTCTTCCGGGGTTACTTCTGGGGGCTCCGGTTGGGCGTCGAAAAGAACCTCTTCCTCCTCTTGAGCTGGAATACTTCTTTTCTCTGGCTCTATGGACTCCTGCAAACTTGGATTTGTTGGAGTAGTGCTGGGACGTCTGGCGAATCACATTTGCCATGGTATCATCATGACCTCCCTTGGTTTGTGTGTAACCTCTTTGGCGACTTCTTCAATCCCTCCTCCGAAGATGGATGATGCTGACCATGGGGCTCTGTATAAGGACTTGGTGAACCGCTCACTCCAGGTGCATGATGACAATAATCCTTGTCTCCTCAGGAGAGTCAGGCCCGCTGATGTGGGTGCTAGATGCTCCGACATAAATTGGTGGTCCTTTTTCTGAGTCAGTAGCGCAGAATATATCATCCGGTCATCTTCGTCGGTCGAGTTCTTGAACTTCGAGATGAGTGCTTCGTTGATAGCCCTAGACCTGGATAGTCTGAAGAAGGTATGTCTAGTAGTCGTATCCAGTTGTGCTAACTTCTTGTCGTCTATCTTGTAATTTCTATAGCGGGAGTCGTTGATGATCTTGTAGTCCTCGTCAATCTCTGGTGCCTTCAGGAAGGGTTCCATGTGATGTAAGGGGAAATTCCTGGCGTTGAACATCGGGATATGCTGGTTTCTGGAACTTGGTAGCTTTTTCAAAGGCTGAGCTAAGGCTGTCCGGTACTTGGGAGATCAGGTCGATAGGTGGAAAGGTGAGTGTGTCAAAGTCATCGTTGGACATCTATGTATGTAAACGCTTCGTCTGTGACCTTGGAAGGTGATGCTAGGTTCAGGCCATTAGCAATCCATGAGGTTACTTCCGCATCGGAGAATATGACTTCACCTTCTTCCTCTGATTTAGACATTTCCCGCTCTGACGATCCACGACGACGTGAGTCTCTGTGTGAAGATCTGTATGACGATGAATGAACCCGTATCCTTCGTGGAGTCTTGAGATCTTTCTCTAGACCTTCGTGAAGGTTGATTCTTAGACGTAGTCTCCCCTCTGTAAGATGTGGAGTGCCTGCGCGCAGGTTCCCGATGTGCGTCTGAGTCGGATGGTGATGACGACCCGTATCTATGATGTCTGTAGGGTAAGGGAGAACTTCGACCTGCTTCTGCGTGGAGAATTCTTAGCGGTTCCTTCAGGGACGTCTAAGACTGAGCTGACGTTGGTAGCGTTGTCCACTTCAGATGGGTAAGATCGTTGGGTGCGTGAGCCTTCACGAAGGCTTCCCTCTTCTTCCAAGTGCGTTGGAGAGACTGCTGAATCTTCACTCAGGCTAGTAGTCATCGTAGTGGTCTTCGTAGCAGCTTTCTCCTGCGCGAGGCGACGTTCCATCATCAACATCATCTGGTCTGTAAACTGTTGCGTGAACAGTCCCGGGTTGAAGTTCTGCGATGTCTGATGAGATTGCTGCAGGGATGATGATGCTTCTGACAACAGTGAGGCATCTTCTAAGGCACGCTGCACTTGTGAAGAGTTAACGCTGCTGCTATTTCTGGTACCTGATGTCTGCGTTGATAGGTCTTATGTCAATGTCTGCGCTGATAAAGTTGCCGATGTAGCTGTAGAAGCAGGCTTCCTCTTCTTGCTGACGACTGTGACTTCAGGTATGAGGATGGGGGGGGGATCATAATACACATCTGCTTCTTCCGGAGGTACAATCTCGGCAGAGAAGAATCTCGTCTTCTGCGTAGAGCTGTGTAGAGACTTCGACGAAGTCTAAGGGGTAGTAGCCTTCTTCTTCTGCTTTGAAGATCTAGTCTTCTTTGTCTGCGAAGAGGTCAGCTCCGTTGACAACGATCTCTTATTAGCTCCAGGGTTCATCACTGGAACAGCGAACTGCCCCTGTAAAACGCTCGGCAATTCACTGGAATTATGAACATTGGCAGCAGTAATTAAACACACAGTTATCTGCGCAATCACTCGATTTAGACATGACTTGTGAATACCTTCTTACCCAGTCCTTTGTATGTCTATCAATGGAAAAAGGTAGTTATTAAATTCAAAAGTGGTTAATTCCAGACAATGTTTACAGAAAGAGCTGAAAGAACATGAAGTAGTGCAATCAGGACATAATAAATGTGGGTCAGCCGAGACTGCCGGTACCTACAATGAACACAAGTTTTCATCATATGTAAACACAATGAAAAAACATGTCAAACAACGTATACTTTAGATCAAATTTCAAACTATATAGTAGAATACAATCCTAAAAGCCGTATACAGCAATAATTTTGATGTAAGGTCCAAAAGAGAAAAGGATATGTGCCATATAGGGACCCAGGTGCTCTCACAACCATCCTCAAGGGTGAAGAAGGAGAGAGTGACAAAACATGCCCGGTCAGGTGACCAAAAGGGCACCAAGGAGGCAAGGGAGGTAACTCGTGGGTGAGTGGTGATTTACGTCCGCTTGTTAGAAGGGAACTTCAAGGGATTTCAAGTGTTCCACTATCATTCACAAGGAGAAGGAGACAAGCATTTAGCATGAGTCAGGATAAGGAAAAATTATTTTAATATTACACAAGTTTAATATCATAATGAAGTGCAGTCAACTGTGTTTTGGTAACAATTAAATACACAAGTGCACACAAAACCCTTTATCAGATGCCTTCAGAATAACAACAAAGCAATAATTTACCTGAACCAAAATATGTCCAAATTGGTCATTGACTCGTCCATTGTCTCGATTCTGATCAAAAAGAATGTACATGTAAAGCAGAGAGACAACAGGAAGACAATGCTGATACAACTGCTAACACCTGACATCACAGCTGACAATATGGGTGGACAATCCCTTTACTTATTTACATTCAACAAGCCTTCAGTTCTGAGAGAGATCTTATCATGATGCAACTGACAGATGTACACTGTTTACGTTACGTCTCTTTGTGTACAAATCCACAGATGAATATGAAATGACTGAAAGAATTACTCAAAGCAGCTAAATATATCCAGCAAAACAAACTACATACACATTAAGTTGAATCATTCAGACATTTAGTGTTTCAAAGTCTGTTTAAATATCACAAAAAATATGTGAAAGTTTAAAAATAGGGGTGGATGTGGGGTTTAATTTCTCCAACGGTATTTCCGTCATATCAGTCTAATGAAAGCAGTAGGCTTAAGGTGTTGTAGGCCACAGCCATTACCACTCTGAAGAAGGCACACACTGATGTCTGTTGCTATAATGGACCAGTCAGTCCACCGCAGATGGTCATAGAGCAGCCTACTGACTACCATCCATACTTGAGACCACTATTATCTTCAGCTCCACTGTGGACAATTTCTTTGAGTGGCATGTTTAGAAGTTGGTGAATCAGATAAGGACATAGTTTATGGATAAATAACTTCTTTATTCAGATAATGCAACTTGCTTGACAAGGATACAAGAATTGTCACATCATCCGAATAAAGCTGTTCTTCATCCATAAAGTTTGTCCTTATCCATTGTGGACACTAGTTTCTGAATGTGACTGTGTAAAGTTTGTCCCTATCCCGTGTAAAGTTTGTCCTTATCCATTGTGGACACTAGTTTCTGAATGTGACTGTGTAAAGTTTGTCCTTATCCATTGTGGACACTAGTTTCTGAATGTGACTGTGTAAAGTTTGTCCTTATCCATTGTGGACACTAGTTTCTGAATGTGACTGTGTAAAGTTTGCTATGCTCACAGTTTTCTCTATATTGTGCATGAGTCCAGCTAGTGTCTCTATACACTCCTTCTTGGCCAGCCTCTTCAGTATTGTTGGGTTTCCAGTGAGGAATTTCACAGCTCCAACACAGTAGATGAGAGCTTCACAGGATGCCACATGGTCACTACTCCGTATTGTCTCTATCAGTAGGTCTGAAACAACAAACCCCTCTGTCTTCAAATTACAACAATGATAAGACTGAAGTACACTTTTGTCAAACACTGTTGTGTCTATCTTGTGATTGTCTCAAAGTATAAGCTTGGTCCCTGCATATTCCTTCCTTAATAATCATTTGGTGGTTGTGCTAAAACTCAGACAACTCAAAGAATTTACGTAGGCACAATTCCACACATTTTCGACAATATTTTGGCCAATATTATATATATATATATATATGAGGCATATGCACTCACTTTAGCTTCCCATTTATGCAATAAAAGACTTATTATCCCTAATGACTTGCCTGAAATCGATAATTGAAACTTCGATGCGAACAGCTTCAAAACAGAGAACACTTGCCATATATGCAATGTAAACAATTGCTCTGTACATAAAAAACTGTCGCACAGAGTGTTATCTGTGTTTGCCAAACTGGTTTCAATGACAAGTTGTGCATATTTGTTTTGTCTTGGACTGACTTCTGTCTCCAAAGGAGTTATAGGATATTCGTAAAGAGCGCTCCAAGGGAAATAACTCTATGGGGTTTGCATGAAATCCCAAACAGCAGTGTTTGACAGTACTTGCACACATGATGGAGAGTTTGTAGATGAAGTAATACCCCTCCGATCACAAGCTAGCATGCATTATTGTGAAACAATTGGAGGATATATGCCTTGATCTAAGCAGTTGTTAAATGGGAATGGAATGTGAAGGATAGTGTCATATTTAACAATTACTAGTACAGGACTGCAGGGAGAAAGACAAATATGTCACAAACAAGTCAGACAAAACGTGATGGTAGCCCAGCCACACACGTATATCTCAGTGACACGTACACATATATTTCTTCTCCACCACAGACAACTCACCCAGAACATTGCCTTCTAGGAACTCCTGGTCGTTCTTCTCATTACGGCTCACTTTAAACACCAACTTACACACATTCAACAGATTATTGCCTCCCACCTTAAACTGGAAAAGAAATGGGTCCATTAGGCAGAATGTATAACAAACACTTAATAAAATCTTACATGCGTGTTCACCCACCCCCACATTACTTGAAACAAAGAGTCAGACAGGAAGAAGGAACAAAAACATGATCATGTAATCATGAGGCTTTACTTTAGACATGTTTAAAATATCACTGAGCTACAGCCAAGTCACTTACAGCCAATATCAGCCTGGCCAACTTGAGCATGACTCTGGGTTCTTCAACATCTAGCAACTTGAAGATAGCTTTGAGAATAGACGATCTCTGCTTGTAGCTCTTGGTCAGTTTCTTGTTGGTGTCCAGCACAATGTACAGGTCCTCGGCCAGCTCCCCAAGCTTCTCATTGTCCTTGTCTACAAAACACAACACACACATGGTGAGACCAACTCTCCCTCCAGCTTCCCCACTCACAGGTTTGTTGCTATGGAAACACACCTCCTCTGACTGATACAGTGGGAAATTCAGATCTGAGTACAAAAGTATGTTTTGTAGACTGTCTGCATCAATACTTATTACTGTGAGTCATCATAACAATTTCTTTATACCATGGCTAAATATCATCATGAACAGGTAAGTCAATTTTGTGATATTTCATGGAATGTACTTGAATACAGCTCTACTTTGCATTAAAAGACAGCTTTGACCAGGCAATGTGGCCACACCCTATGTGTGTATAGGTTTCAACCCCGACCTATAAGAGTGAAAATCTAAACTTGCCAAATTGTCTTCCTTTGCACTACAGAGAGGCTCAACCAAATGCTGTTCCAAGTTGTGAACCCGTGAAGACCCGGGGTAGAATAGGTCTTCAGCAACCCATGTGCTTGCCATAAAAGGCGACTATGCTTGTCGTAAGAGGCGACTAACGGGATCGGGTGGTCAGTTTCGCTGACTTGGTTGACACATGTCATCGGTTCCCAATTGCGCAGATCGATGCTCGTGCTGTTGATCACTGGATTGTCTGGTCCAGACTCGATTATTTACAGACCGCCGCCATATAGCTGGAATATTGCTGAGTGCGGCGTAAAACTAAACTCACTCACTCACTCACTCCAAGTTGTGACTACTTACTCTTGCCAAGAGCTGACATCTCATCAATCAGAGGTGCAACTTTGTCTGTGTAGAAGTTGTCATCACCAATGTCAATCGAGTCTCTTTTCCCAGCACTCCCTGGAACATTACAGGGAGGAAGAATCCAGTTGCAGATCTACATTAGATTTTAATTTCAGTCAGCGACCTACATTAGACTCTTATTTCACTCAGAGATCTACATTAGACTTTTACTTCAGTCAAAGATCTACATTAGACTTGTATTACACTTGGAGTCCGAGATGTGTACAGGATGAACTGACCACTACGAGTCTTCCCCGCACTGCTGGACTTGCGGGAGCTGCCACTGCCCACCCTCTGTTCCCCATCATGGGATCCACCACTGCAACAGTGAAACATGCACTGAGCTCCATGGATCACAGGATGACTCTCCAATATGAACTGATGGATTACATTAATCAAAAAGACATATGAAAATGACTGACCCCAAATGAAAATGTGTGTAAAGGGATACTTCAAGGTCAGAATCATACAATCTTGTAGAGCTAGTACTTCAGAACAAAGAATTCATTTTGGGGGGATGTTTTTTTTTAGGAATAACTTCAAGGGGCTAAAAACATGGATTTATTGAAGTCGATAATTTACCATGTTCAATGACAATGTTTCAATGTATGGCCATATGAGCACTTACGTTCTGGGTGGACTACTGACTCCCATGGAGCTGGACACACGTGGGGCAGCCTCTTTCCCATCTGCCATGCCCCGCTCCTCTGGCAGCAGAGTTCTCTCCTTGGGCCCACTATTTACACGCCTGGGGACCTCCCGGTCAGGACTGCCTGACTCATGGAGCAGACGGCCTTCAATTAGAGTCAGTAGCATTATAATAACCTCTCGGAATTTGTGGATATATGGGAAATGACACATAGAACAATTTATATTGAATTATTTGCACAAAAGGACGCCGCTTCTTATCTTTTGGTTTTATTTCTGTCATTTTATGAATCATAAAAACTTCATGAACATGCATAAGTAATGACTACCGTCAGTTGATCCACTCCGCGGCCTGACACTGGATGTGGTCTCTCCTCCCCCATCAACACTGGTGGCATTGTACAGCTTCTGTCTTGATCCCTTCCTGGACAGTGGTCTGTTTGGGTCAGCCGGTGGTTTGGGGGCCAGAATGGCAGTCTCGATCTCCGCTGCTGTAGGGGCTCGAGGGGTCTGAAAACATTGCAAATTACCCAATCCAACAGTTTCAATACTCACTGCATTAAGACATACAAAGAAAGTGAGTAATGTGTTAATTAAACTCCCAGGCAATTACACTGCCAACTTCAAACAAGTGTTAAGTGTGCGGTAAAAAGAGATAAATTTCTGGATCATGTGAACAACATATGGGAAAATACATGATATGATATCAAAATCCAGTGAATACTGTTCTCAGTGAAATGATCACTGAAATCATTTGTGATAGAAAGATGGTAAGGACTCATGTCGCTGTCTGCAGACACCACACTCAACAATCATCAGGAATGGGTGCAAGTGTCTATACTCACATTGAACCTCTAGCCAAACACTACCCTACATTGAGTACAGAGCATTTGAAGACATTTGACTACATTGTAAACCAAAGACCCAGCACCGTGTCCACTAACATTTACAACCACTGAACCAATTCCCATGCCCAAACCTGAGATATGCAGATGATACAAGCACACTTTGCTTCATGTAAAACGTGAACATCTAATAGACATGTAGTAGATAGGAAGCTAATGGCAGACAACTACAGAATGATGTGCAAGATGAGCATTTTCAGGATGTTGAGAGCCCTGTTTATGTAACCGGCCAAATCACTTGCAAATAAAACACCAGGTCATCTCCTTCCAAACATGTCAGCAGTCACTCTTTTAACACAATTCATCATAAACAGTTTCTGCACGGTCTTCTTGCAATGTGTTTGTTGTGTTCAATCCATATGGTCTCTGGTTCAATGTCTTTAGCAGGTAAAGTAGAATGCCATACAAAGTTCAACTGCTGCAAAACTACAAATAATTTCACCACTTCTCTTGGCGCTGACAAGATATAAGTTCTCAAATTCTGTCTGTTACCAGTTTTGTGTACTGACTTTGTCATTTTAATGGCTGCTGATGTACTGAAGGACATAAACCATGACTTGTGATGTATTGGTATGACAGCGAAATGTTAACATAGTAAAATATGACCAGTTCTGACATCAGTCACCCATGAAGATCCAGGTTAGAATTTGTCTTCAGCAACCAGTGCTTGTCTTAAGTGGTGATCAGGCTCATTGCTGAGTGCAGCATAAACAACAAACAAATCTGACATCAGTAGGAGTTACCAAATAACACAGTGCAGCACAACTGATGCCAAACATTGGTTAAAACAAGTGAAGTTTGTGGTTTCACCAATCTACTTCCTGATCTTGCAATCAGTGATTTGTTCAATGAACATTATGACTGAAGTGAGTTAACATGATCTCCGATTCACATATTATCATGCTATGGCAAAACTAGCCTGTTATTGTGGTAACATCTACCCAATGAAACAATCAAAACCTAGAAACATTAAAAATAGGTATCATTCAGGGTAGTCCTTGGTACAGGAATTCTGCATATTTCAAATAATTTCAGACATGGGTTATGACTCATTAACATCAGTTATAGTCAACTGAATTAAAATGGTGTCACAGAAAAATGTCAAAAACTACTAAACAAAATGAAGATGATGTTAAGATGACTATTTGGACAACACTATTTTTCCGCCACCTGGACTAAGCTTGAAAAAAACCCAAAACAATCAACAAAACTGAAAATGTCAGATATCTACTTGAAAGCAGCTGTCTGAACGTGCATCAACTATGCAACACAAACATACACAGTGGAAGGAATGCAATCAATGAAGTGTGTACCTTAATCTCGGCCCTGGCACGAACATCTGACCCTTCTGGCAACTGCAAGCCAAAACCATGCATGGAGAACAGTAGCAGACACAAGCATAATACAAAACACACTAACTCAAGTTTGAAACAAATCATATGTTTGTGTGATAATTTCTTTGTTTCATTTATGCCCAACAATCTAATCATGCTAAAACACTTACGAGTTATATACAATATGCATTATTCTTATCAACATTCAGTAAGACTCACAGTGATTTTCAGGCTTAGAAAGTAATTGTATGTTCATTCTTCCACGAAATGACATGCTACAGACTTGCCATCTACCTATGATGAAATTGGTGGTCCACAGGAAAATGTCACTTGTCCTTCCTGAATTATACTGGTCTCAGACTAGTGGACTAGTATGAATTTGGAACCTTGGTTTTTTTGGTTAAAATTTAATCAAACTGATTTTAACATACATATGTCCAAAAGGCAAAATCTAATTGTGTCTGAAAGGCAACCAATCGGATGTTAGTATGATTGAAACAACTCGAAGGACATATGGACTAATTTGTGGGGAAACAAGCCATAGGTTCACCTGTAACATTGTCCAGGGCAAAACCATTTCAACCATGCAAGAGACAAGTGTGCATTATGTGGATTTCTAAACTCCGGCCCCAACGACAATGTTTACATTTCTTGAGGCCATGTTAAAAGTAAAGCAGAGTAGGAATCTATTCTATGAAAGTACAAACAATTACAAAATATACACATACACCACAGATGTTTCCTAAAAGCAGACTGAAAACCTACAGTCATAATTGATGCCAAAATCATGTTGTTGCCACACTACTCATGCTTCTAGTTTGAAACACAACATGATACTTTCATCCTTCTACAGTAAACACTGGTAATTTGTATAATTAACTGATACATTGAGCAATAACACTTTGCCGGGTTTACCGAGTGGATATGTTCTCCATGTATAGATCTGACACCATCTTTACCATACACAATGCCAAGGTCGTTTCTATTTCTATCTATCGCTTCTAAGTCAAAGACATGTATCAACTTGGTCAAACAGAAATGGAAACCCAGAACTTGTGTACACTAGTTGCATAAGGACACATTTACAATATAATGTTGCAATGACCAAGCTACATCCACACTGTAAAAACTTGATTTGTCATGCCTCAAGATTTACAGACATGAACAGAAAGGGATGAAGTGATCGTGATTCCATATGGTATGTTCATCCTGTCTATTTTCTATAAACAAGCTGATAGCTGAAACCAGCACTAGTCGGCATAGGTTAATTTCCTGAGTTCATGAAATAATTCAATGGATGATTTGTAATGACATGAGGCAGCACTGAGGATAATGAGGATCAGCTTGGATTTACATCTAAGCCAGTGAAAGTGGAAGACGTTTCATGAAGTTTCCTCAAGCCAATATATTTGAAAGCAAACCATTTCATCCTGCTGTCCATGACATTTTAGTGTGAATGCAATACAATTCATAATGCATCAGAACAGGGTATCAACACACTTAGACCTCCTACACAGGTTGTATCCATCTTAACCATAACGCCACCAGTGCATTGTTTCGTGTTAGACACTGCTTGGAGCCCACCACATTCCAATGTCTAAAGCATCAATAAATAAGTACCTAAATACCAATGAAAACAAAAACATGGTAATAAATATCAATATATATATATATATAAGTTCCTACGTGTATTTACAATGCCTTTCGCCTAACTGAACGTTGGTTGTCACGGAAGCTGAAATTATCATCAAGTATGTCACCTTGCTGCATTTATAACAGTGGTTTCACTTGATTCAGGAAGGACTGTGACCTAAAACCACCAATATTCTTAGCTCAGATGTGCATGCATGAGAGTTAAACTGAAATTCGTTATAATAAATAATAAACATCACGTATGAATATATACTCATGGAAACGAATAAGGGAACACCTGAAAGTACAAGTGTTCCTTTATTGTTTTCCAGGTTTCTTCACAAGCTTTGTATTGCACTGTGGGTGAAATTCTAGAAAAGAATAAAGGAACACTTGTATTTTCATGTGTTCCCTTATTCGTTTCCATGAATATATAAACGTGGAGATATATTTTCCTGAACACTGAAAACGGACAACCAAGTTCAAACAAAAAAGCATCTAATTGTCAGCATTCCACGACATGCACCGTGTTGGCCACAGGCAAGGTCTTGTAGAACACAATCACATGACTACACGTTGTCCAGGCGGAGGGCGTTAATGGACATGTACATATCATCACAATCCCGCTTGACATGCAAAATCATCCCTTAAGGTCTAATTTACTAAAGTCTCTGCAGCAGTTTGTATGCTATCAAGATCAGCATGTTGCTTTGTACTTACATAGTCGGTCGACAAAACAAAAGATTTCACTTCAAAATCAGTTTCACCCTCACACAATTTGTTAAATCGAAAGCAGTGGAGTGTATTAATATAAAATAATTTTAGCACTTTGTTTACATAATTTAGATAGAGGAATTGGGTGTAAAAAAATCAAATCAATATGTGGCTATATACTTTCGACTGAGAGTATAATGTCACTACATAATCAACAGGTAAATGGTGGTACCAGCAGCCGAGACCAGCCTACACAAGCACCTGTACTGACACTACTACAGAAGCATGGCAAATACATGAGAGAACAAAACAACTGCTAATATCAGAATCACACAACATTAATGATAGTTGTGAAACATGTAAAAACAAAGAAATCCAAACCATGACAATTATTACATTAAACATTAGTTGTTTTTAATCAAACTTGTTGTCAAGAAATAACCTGACTATTCTTTCATTCATTATCTTAGACAATAATCTGAGCTACCTCTCCAGACAACTTGCCTCAACACTCTCATCTGAATGAGATGGATGGAGCTGACTATCAGTTCGGTTTATGGCAAGGATGAATGGGCCCAAATATGATGATTAATACAGTTACACATGCCAATTTAAAGATCAAGTTGAAAACCTTCAGTAAGAATATCCTTTATCATAGAATACTTAAGGAGTTTGGTAAATATTACAAAACATCTATATATAGTGGAGTATTGATATACCACATTTTTCAGTATCGCAAAATGCATCTTAATATGTTGAGTGTTGATATTTGGCAATATCTGCTCTGCTGGTCACATTTAATGTTTTATGGATGTTGTTTGATTTTGTTACTAGAATGACAGTTGCAACTATGAAACTTGTTCCACCATATTAGTAATTCTGCTATTACAATAGTTGTGACTGCAGGACAGGTACAGTGTAATACTGGCAGTATATATCTGGCTGGAACATGCATTGGTATTTCCTAGTGTGTGGCCATGGATTACATACCGGTATCTGAGAATCAATACACCAGCCTATTGTGCTACATGCCAAGAACACTTCTAGCTGTAGCATGTGAAACAGGTTGTATTGTAGGATGAATACACTCAAACTGAGAATAGGGCCGTTATTGTGGCCTCTAAAAACAGTCTCAGTTGTGCTGTAAACATGGTAACTATCATAATTCATTTTTAAAACAAGAGAGAATAGATCGCTATCATCAACTTCTAAAAAAAAAAACAGCATGAGAGGCAACAATCAACATGAAATGGCTGACAACATGCAGCAAGAGAAGACTGTACGTGGAAGCAGCTGTTACAGCCTAAACCAAGCAGTGTAAGGATACATGCTTCTCAAAATAATCTTATACAATCACCAAAATAGTATACATCTTAAGTACAAGTTAGATAACAATGTTCTGGAAAAGAAACAATCTGTAATCCTGTCCCTATGCAAAGTTCACATTGCTCATGGTTTTCCACAGTAAAATTTTGCATACTGAGTGATCAAATCGGAACAAAACTATTGTATTATAATTTATACAGATGCATGTATGTATACATGTGTTAGTTCATGCAACTATTTCACCAATCAACATGATCAATGATAGAAAACTTACATGATCGAGAGGAGATAACTTTGTCCCTGAAACTGGCCTAGAATCATTGCCATCAAAGTGTCGAGAGTTCAAGCTGCAACACAAAAGACGTGAGTAAGTAGGTGTTAGATGTCAAATTGTCGAAGAAAGGGTCTTCTTGTGACATTTATATGTTACTCATCTGTCTTATCTTAATCTAAATATAATACTTCATCTTTCTGGGCCAATACAATTTATAAGCTGCTGTTATGTCAGACTCGCTAACTTGATTGACACATGTCATCGGTTCCCAGTTACGCAGATCGATGCTCATGCTGCTGATCACTGGATTGTCTGGTCCAGACTCGATTATTTACAGACTGACGCCATATAGCGGGAATATTGCTGAGTGCGGCGTAAAACTAAACTCACACACTACTTGGAGAAGACAAAGTCCCCGAACAGGTTCAGATGCAGTCACATGCTTTATGCCTGTATTCAAGCTGAACCTTACTTTAAGTAAAAGTGTTCATATCATTTTTGACTGTTTGAACATTGTAACATCTAAATTTAACATTGTTTAAGTAGCATTAAAGCAATATAAATCAACGTTACTTTTGCTCCTTTTAATGACAGTAATTTTGTTTATGGTAACATCAATATTTTAATATACACCAGCAATTTACCACGACATACCCTTACCTGAAAGCACTTGCTGGCCTGGACTCTGGGTTCCGGGCTGTAGATGCAGGAAACAAAGTCCGCTTCTCGTCACGGGGTGTAAATGGTCTCTTGGTCACAACAGTGCGGAGAGATGTCCGTGCATCTTGAATAATTCTTGAACTGGCTTGGACATTTTCAGGCAGTTCGTAGAATGGTCGATCTTTTGATTTCTTTGGATCCATTCTTTTTGTCTAACGATGATTATAATACTTAGGCATAATACTAGGAATATCTATAGGTACACCATGATGGGAAACCTGGAAAAAAAGGGAGATAAATAGATATCTACATATTTAAGATTGTACTGCTACAAATACGGTAACAAATAGGTAACGTAACATATATGTTTATGTCCACTGACATGCTAACAGTTATTGTGTACTCCATACTTGGCATTGAAACAACCGACAGACAGAGAATACATATTGACAAAGCCAACTGAACAAAATTAAGTAAAAATAGGTGAGAAGATTAGGCAAAATGATGAAGTATAGATAATATAAGTCTATTTAGGTGAGATTCTTCTGTTTAGGTAAGGTTATTAAGTGCATTTTGAACTGTATTCAACATCAAAGTGAGGTTTGCAAAGGAGGGATCCATGTACCCATGGCACCCTGAGGGATTAAAACAGCAGACTGTGCATGAAGATGCAAGAATCACACAGGTGCACCTACACCACATGAAATGGCTCAAATATGGTATGTCATACATTTATCAACCGACAAAAATGACGTCATATTACAAGGGACACAAGCCAAAGTGTGTCCATTATGGAGATAGAACTCTTGGAAAATTTAAAATATGACCCAATTTGCAAAAATATATAAGATTTAGCTGTGATACCTGAATTGTTTGGTCTATGAAACTACACTGATAATACTTCTTGATATTATGTGGGGAAATTGACACATAAGTCTGTTTATTTTCATGGGAAGCTTAGGTTTCTCTGAGCATTTTCTTAATATAACAAAATCTTATCAACCTATTTAACACAACTCAATAAAAACAAGGAAACATTGCCATTTGATACTAGTGTGAAGAGAGATTGTGATTAGTATTCTGATAAATAGGCTGCAGTAACCATGGTTACCGTATTCAAGAAAAATATACAGCATGCGCATTTCATACCAACCATTATATTAGTATCAATTATAAACAGAAACTACTGCAGCATACAGTATAGGCATAAAGTTTCAAAAACAGCATTGGTTTTTAACCTCACAGTACCTATCCAGGCAGTGATGTAATGCCCTGAGTTTGCCATGATCATACTTACATGACATGAGAAACAGTCAAAGCTGACATTCAGTCATTGAACAAGGTGGGAAAAGAAACAACTGATTCAGATTTGTATTCAAAACGTATTTAAGCATGATGAAGCTTTGTCTTCACAAGTCAGTTACTTGTGATGATATTTGTTTGTGCTGCCGCTGAAAGATGACAAGTGTTTTCATAAGTAGTCTCGGCTTCAGCATGTTCAACTATTCAATATTTAATAAATATTTAACTAACATCCATCGCATCTCAATAACTCAGTCGTGAAGCTCGGATTTAGCCTAGTTCAACACTATTCAGTGTATATTTAGGATCGCTGCTTCCTAAATTCGACACACAGCCAGTATGATCTGAAAACCCTCAGCAAAATGAAAATTATGACATGTAAATTACTCACAGAATATATGAAATCGCATTACGAGTTAAAAAGGGTAGACAATCAAAGTGATGGAAACTGACAGTTCGGTCCTCGACTCAGGTTGTCAAGATCTACAATCGCGATCGAACTTGTTGCCAGCTAGGCCCTACTTCGACACCTTGATCAGCGCATTTCATTTACTACTCATCATTACAAAAATACACTGCCGTGTATTAAACAACGAGTATTACCTTAAAGGCAATGCATTTTGCCGTATCAAGCAGACATAGACAAGAAATTCCTCTGCCCCTGAAAGATTTCACCAAGATACGGATCGATGTCAGGAATTCTTCACCGGATACGTAAACATGCGCAGACACAACTTCCTGTCAAAAGACGCATGGAGGTTAGACTAGTGGCTTCTGAGAGGTAAGACGCGAGGACGTCGGTAGTCTACAGTGTAGCCAGCATCTGATAGGTATGGATTGAAGCGAAATGCACTGAACAGGAGATTGAATAGAGTATGACTGGTGAATGGCTAGCTGTTCCATAACAGTAACTTGTGTTTGTTGATAGGAACTGTTCGGACTTCAACGCGCACTTAACATGCAGTGAAGCTACTGTCAAATCATTTTTCAGAACACTGAAATTGAAAGCCCATTTGGTCCATGCCATTTTGTACTTCAAAACTCTGAGTAGAAAAATCAAAGGTTCAAGCTGAAACTTCTGGCAATTAAACATCGATCTTGAAAATCGAAATAATCAAGTAAAAAGTAAATCATGCTCATTCTCCACTGCGAATTTAGAGTTGTCAAATGGGCTCCTGTATACACGATAAAACTATCTGGTAATGATTCTGATATATTTTTTATCTGAAATATTCTAATGTGCATAGTCTTATCAGGTCTTCAGAAACGAGTAGACATATTGATAGCTTGTTTCTCCTAATTTATGTTTAGGGGTACCTATATGCATGATTATATATAAGAGTTGGACCTCATACTACTGTTGACTGTAACATGAGAAAACGATACAGCTACAAGTGAGGGAGTATTTCACAGTGTAGAAACTTTATCATTTCAATTAGCATGATTAACACCACACTAAACAAGGCTGCTACTGAATTCATCAACATTCTATGGCTCTGACTAACTTGCTTCATTTATCAATTTTATACGATAATGCAATTTAGCCATTTACTCCTTGAAATAGGATATTCATTTTCATCCAGATTATATTAGATTTGTTAAGAGTCATGATTACCCTGACCCATTCTTAACAAGATAATCAGAAATGGCTGCTTGATCAGAAAGAGATATCTAAGGGGTGAAATTAGTTTGGGGAGAGGAGCCTGTGCCAAATAGCATTAACAGCTGCACCCAGTATACTTCAGTCTTGCCTTGTTGAATAAGCCTACTTAAACAATCAGATGGCATGATCAAAAATGTGAACAAAATGTAATCTGAATTCCCTTTCAGATAGAGTGAATCAGTTAGTGGGATCTCTCAGTTAGCTGACACTTGAATCAAGATGGCTGTCCTTGGTGTGCAGTTTGTCTTCAGCCTGGTCATGTTCAGTTTCCTCCAGAAGCTGTCACCCTACTATTCCTTTGCTCGATGGCTGATGTGTAGAAGATTGGTGCGATATCTACACCCGACAGATGAAGATTTAAGAACTCAGGCAGGGATTGCACCCCCAGGGAAAGGCAAGGGGAGGAGGAACGACAAGAAGGAAAAAAGTAACAATACAACAGAGACATTCATGGTACCCAGAAACATTGACATTCAGCTGGAAATGACTAGAGTGGAACCTGTTGACTTGGTTCCATTACACTTTTACCCTGAGTTCCAGTGGCTCCTGGACTTCTCCGTCTGTGCATGCATAGTGTATATTCTGACAGAGATCTATTATGCTTTGAGTATGCATCACATTGAGTTCAATGCAAGCATCCTTTGGTGCCTCCTTGCTATCGGTTTCTGTCTTCGCACATTGCTCTCACAAACAGCTCTTTACTTTCGCACTGAAGAGGGGGGAGAGAGAATATTGTGCATAACATTTGGTTTTTTCTACTTAGTTTTAGGAATGGGAGTACTTGTAGTTGGTGATGATATTTTGGAGTTTGGACTTGAGGAGGGATATCGTAATTTCTCAGGCAATGCTGAACAGTTCTTAAAACAACAAGGTGTGGAATCCACTGGCCCAGTATCACTTCTCACATTCAAAATTGTGCTTGCCATTACTTGTTCAATTCTTGGAGCATTTCTGACGTTTCCTGGACTACGACTTGCTAAACTCCACTCAGATGCCATGAAATATGCAAGGGAAAATTATGTAAGGCAAACATTACTCCATTTTAACTATGCACTGCCACTTCTCATTGTGTTGTCCTACATCAAGCCTATTGCTCGCAATGTGTTTTGTGGTCACCTGTGGACATCAACAGGGGCCTTGATTCCAGATGATTCATTTGACAACATTAGATTACTGCTTGTTGTCGGTATGTTTGTAGCTAGATTAGCCTTGTTCTCCACCTTCATGCAGTCTCACCTGAACCTGGCACATTTGAAGTTACAACTAATGAAGCGTGAAGCTGGCAAGATTAGTAATGTTGACCTACAGAAGATGATAACCCGTGTGTTCTACTACCTGTGTGTTGTGGCTCTGCAGTACATCACTCCAGTCATCTTGATCCTCTTCATGAGCTTCCTCCTCAAGACGCTGGGAGACTACTCGTGGACAACTGTCTTGGGAGAAAAGGTCACTACTCTTTGGTCTCAAAAGAATCAAGGAAACAGACTAATGGTTGCATCTACCAAGGTCAATGAAACAGACAGTATTTTAGACACAGCAGCTCATTTCACTTATACCATTGGAAACCTGCGCACTATTTTCACCCCTGTGTGGTACCGTGGTCTGCTGTCGTTCTTGATGTGGTGGATGTGTACAGTGTGGTTCACCAGCACCAGTCTCGGCATGTTGTACTACTCTCAGTCAGAAACTATGACTAGTTAACTACGTGTATTTGTGGAACAGCAAACCTACTGAATAGTGTATTCATGATGGGATTGTTTTTATCAACAGATATCCAATACAGTGTTTTTTAAAAGTACATTAATCTTGTTGGCCCCATGTTAGATACATTTCAGTCTGAGACCTGGGCCGGCTTCCCATGATTACAAGCACAACATGGGCTATGTGTGAAAAGTATTGACAGGTTGCCAAGCTACAGAGACAGATTTGCTACATGTAGCATCCATTTGGTCACTCTTGCCAGATGATGTACATATCATAATACATTTCCCTGCATAATGAAAGGTTTAGTTGACTTGACTCGATCATGTGGAACTGAAGACTTGTGTGTTTCATATTTAGAGACATGATCGAGGACATCAATTGAGCATGGTTCGTGTTTGAGCGATGTTTAAAGTGATAGTTCTACCATGAATGTTTGTAACTAGAACATGGCAAAGAATCAATTTTGTTAATTATACACAAAGAAATATTCATGTTACACGGTTCTTTTTAAGATGGTGCCTTGTTTGATATTGTTGAAATTCTTGATCCAGCATTTCTCAATGCTTTTACAGCTTTAATCAGTATGACTCGCTCACTCATGGTAGATTTTATTTCTTTTTGTACCAGCTTGATGAGAGGACTATTCATGATCATTTTGATTGTGCTTCAGTGTCAAGAAAATGACAAGAGTGACAGCATCTCTACCAACCTCTTATGAAAATGTACTGTCACCTAGGGATGCCATGATACATCGATACTTTTTCTAAGACAATACAATTATCGATACATTCAAAACTGTATCGATATTTAGTTTTGAAAGTATCGGTTTAAATATGTTTATGCATCGTTTACATTTTGCAAGTTTTTTATGTTGTCAGAGTTATAAATGATTATTTTTCATGCACAGAGGTGGGAAATTAGAACTTTTTAATGTCTGGGAATAAAAAATGTTGATCTTTTCATGGACAATTATGAAATATTAATGTTCAAAATGTAACTTAATTTATGCAATAATGCAGTGAAATTTGGTATCGCGATACACATCGAATCGTGACATGGGTATCGTGATACGTATCAATTCATGAAACCTATGTATCGTGACATCCATACTAGTACTGTCACCAGGGTATTACTTTAACCTATCACCCATGAAATATTTGCAAATTTCAAGTCTCCCCACAGGAAATATGATGGTCTTGTACAGTATTGAAATGGTGTAGTGTGCTGTACTGTAGGGTTTAAAAATGGCTATAATCAAATGAACTTCATGTGAATACTTATCGTCAGGAATTTAGAATGGTGAAAATAATTGTGCATAGATTTTTTCCTGCCTCTGTTCTGTACACGTTCCTACTGGAAGCACATTTCTGTATCACATGAAACCATGTGCTACTTTAAACATGTGATCTTTTTGCCATGCTGGGTGTGCTTTTCTTTACCATTTGTACATGTTTTAGTTGCACACATCAAATTTTCTATCAATCATCACCATGTCTAGTATGGCTTCTTAGGATGATAAACACAGAAGGTTGTTACCATGGATAATATACTATGAACTGATCATAGTTAGAATAGGCAGCTACTACAACTACAAGTATTTTGGCATGTTTCAATGGCTAGTACACATACATAGTAAATGTAGGATTTTTGGTGCTTTTCTTCCTACTGAAGCAGGCAAGATAAACATGAGTATTGTAGAATAATGTACCGTTAGGTATTCGTTGTAGTAATATGATTTTAAACGTTTACTTAAAAGATGAAGGCATGAGTTAAAAATGACAGCAAGTATTTTATTTTGTCCCGTGGTCAGTAAGTCAAGATGTATGTCTTGCCAGTTTGGTTCTGTCAGAACTTATGTCCATGCATGCTCAGGGAAGTAGTTGTCTTTTTATCTCCCCTTGACTGGTTATGCCCGACTCGTATGTATGTAACACAGTTTTCTGTGAAACTAATTACTGGTGAGAAAATATCTATTTTATGTGTAACTTTTCAAAGAATAAGTTTCTCAACACAGTTACGTGCATGTCCCAGTCCTGGTCTTCTTCCAAAGAAATTGTAGTTTATGTAACATTGTCATCAATCAAATGTGAACAAACTGCAATCTGAAGTTGGATATCTGTATGTATAGGCTATAGTGAAATTATGACAGAACAGGTTTTCAAAATCATATTCATAAAGATGATCTTTGTCTGATGTAGCATCTGGCTTTCAGCAGCTGTGGAAAAGATGTGTTATATATTGTCACATATTATTAGAATCAGGTTCATAAATAATGTAAACAATGCTGTGGTTCAGGTTGGTCCGGAGAGACATCAGACTCACTGTGTGGTATATGGTGCATGAACCTTCACTTGCCCCTGCAGTTTCCAGAGAATCACCACCAGTCTTGTCCTATACATGCTGCAGTAAGTTTGTGCCAGATGAATGATGTATATGTTTATTAGTATGTAGGAGAGTAATATATTGATTTGAGAATGACCTTGGCATGTTCAATGTGTGTTTTTGTTTTGCTGTCAATTTGTTAGATGTGCGGTGAAAGGACTGTTTATAATCAGAAATAAACTGATTTTTTAGAATCTGCTGTGTTGAATTGATTTTGTTCAGTTCAGACAAAACAGACATGTTAAGTTACTAACTATACCCTGTGGGCAGTTTGGTTACGGTGTGGTTGAAGTGTCCTCTGGGTGCTATAGGAGGGGACCTCTGGACAACTGACAGTACAGACATCTAGTTGAAGTGTCCTCTGGGTGCTATAGGAGGGGACCACTGGACAACTGACAGTACAGACATCTAGTTGAAGTGTCCTCTGGGTGCTATAGGAGGGGACCACTGGACAACTGACAGTACAGACATCTAGTTGAAGTGTCCTCTGGGTGCTATAGGAGGGGACCACTGGACAACTGACAGTACAGACATCTAGTTGAAGTGTCCCCTGGGTGCTGTAGGGAGGAGACCATTGGACAACTGACAGAACAGACATCTAGTTGAAGTGTCCTCTGGGTGCTATAGGAGGGGACCACTGGACAACTGACAGTACAGACATCTAGTTGAAGTGTCCTCTAGGTGCTATAGGAGGGGACCACTGGACAACTGACAGTACAGACATCTAGTCGAAGTGTCCCCTGGGTGCTGTAGGGAGGAGACCATTGGACAACTGACAGAACAGACATCTAGTTGAAGTGTCCCCTGGGTGCTGTAGGGAGGAGACCATTGGACAACTGACAGTACAGACATCTATAGTCCGTTTGGCTCAAAAGTGGACCGATGAATTGCAATCTAACTCAAAAACTAATCAACATATACTTTAAATTTAAAAAGTTGTTTAACAAACTATCATTAAAATTTTGACACAGTTCACTATTTGTTATGAGGGAGGAGTGCAGAGAAAGGGACAGCCAGGTGTTAGAGAAGCATGTGCACAAGTGCCGACAAAGTTATTGATTCATTAACCTGTGCTGTGCTGTCTCCATCCTTTCTCGCACACCTGGCTGTCCCTTTCTCTGCACTCCTCCCTCATAACAAATAGTGAACTGTGTCAAAATTTTAATGATAGTTTGTTAAACAACTTTTTTATTTTTAGGACAAATTCTGCAAAAACCTCACACAGTTGGTCTGAGGTTTTGATTACGATCAGTGTTTCATTGAGTATTTTGTGTTTATTAGTTTTCGAGTTAAGATTGCAATTCATCGGTTCGCTTTTGAGCCAATTGACTATAGCTGAAGTGTCCCCTAGGTTGTCTGGGTGCTGTGGGGAGAAAGACAATGGACTGTACAGACAGGACAGGTGCAGATTTCAATCACAAACACGGTAATATGAAAATCATAGTTTATTTATCCAAGACAGAAGTAATGCAATCATAATGTAACAACACACCAAACAGTTTAACAACTGACCACTTTGGCATAGCTGAGTAAAAAAACACCCAATAGAAACATATTTCACTGATTTCCTCATATGACCAGTTGAAATCTTTCTGTGGTAATTTGACAAAGTATGTGGTTGAATGTTACACATATTTGTGAAAACAGTGAGTGAACAGATATCTGTGTAGTCTTAACAGTGTAAACTTAGGACTGATGTTCTTGGGATGACACTGCAGGACCAAATGTATAGATAGAACTAGGTATGAATATATAATGGAATGTCACACTTAAGAAACACACAGTAACAGTCCGATACAAAGGAGAACAACATGACAATGTGCCAAACTATGGCTCCATTGTGTAGGTGGGCATTCCTAATTTGAAGTTGGAACCTATCTCCCATGGACAATGACCTTTTCAACAGATTAATAGGTTAGTTTTCATATGCAAAAGTAAATGATTTAAGGTCTGTTAAAGCGTTCTTGCTATCTTTGTTTTGTGTGTGAGGTTCCCCTTCTGAAAGCCTCTGTATTCCCCTGTTTGTAAATGACACTCAAGACTCAAGTGTGGTGGAGAATAACTATGTTGGTACAAAATAATTTGTTGAAACAGCCTTCAGCTCTGGTCAACAATTTTAACTTAGTACATTGAAATAACAATTACACGTGGATGACTGAAAGGGGAAGTGGGCTTGGGACCATAAGCAGCTACATTAAATTTGATTCCATTGATTGCAAACCAACATTGTCAACGGTATAATATATAGACATTAAAAATGATGGTCTGCTGCACAAACTGGTAAAGTGATGATATTCCTGATTACAATCACAATGCTGTTAATGCACTTCATCATTCTTTCTTCTTCCACGTGATGCAGGTTCTGGTGCTGGAAAGATACAATGATGTTGCCAACTCATGACCTTGTCAATGTAGGATTTCATAGACCCATCAGTGCCATATAGGAGACAGCTGCTTCCGACATAAGCAGTGTTCATCTAAATACATGCTATACATCACTGATCATCTCGGCCAGCAGGGACATATGTATAACTACTTGCCTGGAGAACACATCAAATATATTTACTTTCCTTATTATGTCTACTGGACATCTTCATATTACTGAAATTTGTTACAAGAAAAGAAGAGAGAAGAAAGACTTAGTAACATTTAGAATGTGCAATGTTTTGCTTGGTGGATCTTTGATTCAAGAACAAACACAAACAAAATACTAATTCTCAACAAGAAAATTAACATATGGTTCAAATCCATTACCAGATAGACTGTGATGGGAACAAACCAGTGGAAATCCCTTCAAAACTATGCATGAAAAGTCAAAATATTTAGAATTATAGTCAAATACATTTTTTAAGAAATGGCACAAATTAGACATTTATTTATACATAGTGAATATGACTCTCATGACCTGTACCACATCTCCCAAGCTTTCCATTCAGTTTACAACAGTATTAACTCCTGCATGGCAGCTTACACTGATAGAAGATAATCCACTGAAAGAATCTATCCACGCTATATAATCCCACTGATGCAGTGGAGATCTTCAATCAATGGACACATTGAACATGAAACATATACAGACAGCTCAGGTCCTTTACAGTAGGATGAATAAAGGTAACATAACATGATCTTGGGGAAACACAGTAAATTAATGATTAAATGAATTATAGATTTAGGCTTCAGGTGAATTCTAATTCAACTGGTTTGACTTAATAGTTAATGTCCAAAATCAAATCTACAAAACAAGAAATTCAACTGGCCTAACAATAGGAGTATGTCTTGAACCACATTTACAAAACATGTACTTCTACTCTGGCCTGACTTAATAGGAGTATGTTTGAACCACATTAACAAAACAAGTAATTCTACTCTGGCCTGACGTAATAGGAGGGTCTTGAACCACATTTACAAAACAAGTCATTCTACTCTGGCCTGACGTAATAGGAGGGTCTTGAACCACATTTACAAAACAAGTAATTCTACTCTGGCCTGACTTAATAGGAGTGTCTTGAACCACATTTACAAAACAAGTAATTCTACTCTGGCCTGACTTAATAGGAGTGTCTTGAACAACATTTACAAAACAAGTAATTCTACTCTGGCCTGACTTAATAGGAGTGTCTTGAACAACATTTACAAAACAAGTAATTCTACTCTGGCCTGACTTAATAGGAGTGTCTTGAACAACATTTACAAAACAAGTAATTCTACTCTGGCCTGACTTAATAGGAGTGTCTTGAACCATGTTTACAAAACATAATTCTACTCTGTAATTCTACTCTGGCCTGACTTAATAGGAGTGTCTTGAACCACATTTATTTATAACCAACAAATATATGCAGCCATAAGCATTCTACATGTATTTACAAAGCTTACAGCCATTAGATGTATATGGGGATCTGTGAAAGGATGTAAATAATACTTTCTTTGGTAAGGTATTAAGTGTAAAGCTTGTCAATATCCTAATAATACATTGAAAACAGGTATGTTTTGAGTCCTGACTTGAATGTGGCAATACTATCAGAAACTTTCAGATTGTATGGTTTGGCACGAACAGAAACTCCTGATTGGATGATCAAAGGCAGCGCTTGTTTGAGTAAGGAGTAAGCAGGTCAGAGAGATATGGGGAATCAATTCCGTGACGGGCCATGTAGGTCAAGCAGAGGATTTTGTAGTCGCTTCTTGCCTTGATGGGGAGCCAGTGCAACTGTTTAAGAACAGGTGTGATGTGGCCATGTTTGGGAATGCGACTGATAATACGTGCGGCCGTGTTCTGCACCTTCTGTAACTTATCCAATAGCCTCTGACTGATCCCAAACAACAAGCTGTTGCAGTAGTTTGAGCCTTGAAATCCCTGGCGCCCGGACTAAGGCATGGGTGGCTTCAGCTGTAAGATATTGGCGGATGTTGCTGATGGGCGAAGATGGAAATAGCAAGTCTTACGAGATGTTGTTCACCTGTGTTTCCATTGACAGTGATGTATCAAAGTATATGCCTAGAGCTTTGACAGATGAGCTTATAGGAACAACTGCATGGCAATGGTTAGTTCTTAATGGGACATCTTGAAATTTGGTGACTTGTTCCTACCAGAAGTGCCTCAGTCTTCGGTGGTTATTGAGTTTAAGCATATGAGTTGTCATCAGGACTTGATTTCCCCTGTAGAGAATTACTGTGTTACATAGAGACTCATACCAGTTGGGCTATATATGAAGAATATTAGCAAGGATGGTGTGTTCAGTGTCATGGCTTCGAAGCAACAGTTTCCACAATCATTACAGAAACCATGGCAACATATCTACGTTTACTTCAGTAGTATATCACTCCAATCCAGCATACAGAGAGATCATGCATCGGCCTCTACATAACTCCCTCAGTGTGGGAGTTTCATCACATATCAGCAGATTACATTATGGAATATCACCATATTCTCAGCTTATCACAGAAAGTTTTGTCATGTATTGGTGATGTGACTGGCATGGTCAAGACTTGGGCATCCACGACAAGAAATAAGGTAGATGGGCCAGGAACTCGATTTTTGTGACATGCGATGAGCTGTCCTGAAAAATAAAAAACATTGTTCATAGAAAAATTATCAATAATCAAAAACCAAATGTCGTATGATTGAGAAATTGTAAATAAATTAGTGCTAAGTAAAGGTAAAATATATATTTCACTGTTGTGCAGACAATACTGTCTCAAAAGGAATGAATTCGTAAAAAATAATGTGTTTGTTGTTTAAAAAATGACTGCCATATTCCAGCTATATGATGGCAGTCTGTAAATAATCGAGTCTGGACCAGACGGTCCAGAAATCAAGAGCACAATCTTTACAATTGGGAATTGCAGCCTGATTACCCAATCCCGTTCTGACAAGCTGCAGGCCGGTTCTAACGATATGAGATATGAAGGAAGGAGTACATGATAACTCACGATGCCCATGGTGTTTGTGATGCTGGTCCACAGGCTGCGGTCAGACTTCAAGTCCTTCTCAAGTCCAGTACACAGAATCTCCTGCAGGGACTCTGTGGATATCTTACCCCTGTTATTGCGGTCAACTTGTTGGAATAACCCCTGGAAATATAACTCATGTCAAGTACACGTGTTAACCACAGATGTGTCTGGATACAATGTCACAGCCATGGCTATCCCATCACCACCTTTCCCAAGATGTCCCATTCCTAAAACAGATCACCACATCTCTCCAGAAACGTACACTTTACCATTTAGCTCTCCAGAAACATGTACACTTTACCATTTAGCTCTCCAGAAACGTACACTTTACCATTTAGCTCTCCAGAAACATGTACACTTTACCATTTAGCTCTCCAGAAACATGTACACTTTACCATTTAGCTCTCCAGAAACATGTACACTTTACCATTTAGCTCTCCAGAAACATGTACACTTTACCATTTAGGCAGATCAGGAGAGATATAGTAGAACGTAGACATAACAGACATAACAAACTATTCAAAAGACTGAACTAGCAATTAACACTACTTGCCCCTGACAGTGGCAATCAGCATTGTAAGCTGCAAATCAACTTTGCCACAATAACAAAACACTAGCAATATCAAAAACATGAGGAAATTGTAAATTTTATAATAAGTTGTATATTTATATACTTATCTTATCTCACGGTATGCACCTCTCTTCTTCTTCTACGACCATGTGTGGAAACGTGCTGTAGGCTAAGTTGAATCAAATCTTACTGGCCTTTGACCCGCCCTGACCTCTACCCCTCACTCCGACATCAACACCTGTCAATCATCTCCGTAAGCGTGCAGCTCGCTCAGATGATCATGTGACTACCTGTGCCTGTCATTCTCGTCTTGGAGCTTCCAGTAATCTGTGATGTGGGGCAGGTAGGGTGGGTATCCATCACATGAGATAAGATAAGTATATGAATATACAATTTATTATAAAATTTACAAATTTTTAAACTTATCCTATCTCATGGCATGCACAATCCCACGGTTGGTAGGAGGGCCGCAGATTCCCCTGTCAATACGTACAACCGGGAAGACGCAAAACCCCAAGGAGGCCAGGAGAAAGCACCAACTCCTGATATGCAGACTCCAAACTTGAGATGGGTTTCTTGTAACCCCTTGACTTACACAGCACAAAAACTCTAGGGAGTGGGCGCTCCTGAACTAATGTGGTTTTCAGCCGCAACTTTTGACAAGCAAAAGGACGCAGTTTGGCAAGTAGGCCCCGCCGCCCTGCGATTTATCAGGTGACCCCAGTGAATTAAAGTCGAAGACCTTAATCTGGCCAGTTCCTGCTTCGAAACTACCCCCCACAGACACATGCTGGAAGGCGGTGAAAGAGGGAACAGCTCGGTTGCTCAACTAGTTTAACGTTCAGTACCAATCTCCCCTAACTCACCAAGGTGAGAAAGGACTTAGGAGCAGAACGCTTTGAAAACCATGCAGGTAATCAGAAATCAGCACTTTACTGACGTAATTGCTCGGAGGGTAGAGGTCAGTAAGCGGAGTGTCGATCATCTCTGCATGTAGCACAAGACTGTCCTCACAGTCTATTAAGTCATAACTTATGACAGTGCAGACACGCCCTATTCCCATAGGTGAGAATAATCTAATCCCAATGGAAAAAAGTACCAAGACATGGATTACATCGATATCTTTTATTATGTACAAAGCAAACCCGACCAAAGAAGGATTGCTTTATCTGCGAACACGGGACGATGACAATTGCCGCACCAGGACCAGGGGGCCGAATTGATGTAGACCTTCCACGTCTGTAACTGAGAGGTCCCTCAGGTAGTGTGAAGCAAACACCATATCGGATCTCCAAAAACAGCCTTCCATGATGGACTGCAGGGAACAATTTCTATGAAGAGCCATGGTGGAGGCAAGAGCTCGAGTCTCATGAGGCTTTCGCCGTCGGCGGTGGAGGTAGGTCAGCAAAGGCATAAGCACACAGGATCGTAGTTCGCATCCAAAATGCCAAGGTAGTACGGGAGACTTCCGAGGTGGAGGCAGTAGACAATGGAATGAACAATCTCTTACGCAGTCTGCGGCGATCCTGTGAGGCAGCTAGGTAAATCCTTAATGCACGCACCGAGCTTAAGGACAGATCCTCAGTGTCATCTGGGCCCAAGATAGTGGATAACGGCGGAATCGTGAATGTGCGATCCGGCTCTCCTGGTAACTGATTCTTGCGAGAAAATCCCATCGCAAACCAAGGAAAACTCTCGCACGTCTAGGTCTTAAAGAAGACATTTTCAAAATCTTTCTCCTCCAAGGGTTCGTAATCAGCTGACGTGAGATGAGCAAGTACAACGGAAAGATCCCAAGCTGGAGGCCAGAACTTCCGAGATTGGTCAGCCAGTTTGTAAGACCGGTGGAGAGACTGGAGTTCAGGGACAGTGGACACCTTCAAACCCGAGGCCGCTGCAATAACGGTGTTAAGAGCAGCCAGGTAGGTAGATAGTGTAGAACCTTTGAGTTTTCTGGAGGTTCATAGATGTTGAAGGTACTCTGCCACCATCTGCGGGGAGGCCGTAGTGGGGGATGAGACGCCCTTCTTCCTGCAATACGCCTCAAAATTCTTCCATTTGTCATCGTAGAGTGACCTCGTAGAAGTACGATGCGCTGTAGAAATGGCAGAAGCCACCCGTTTAGAATAGCCCTTCGCCGTTAACGACCGATGTAGATGCACCAAGCGTGCAGATGGAGCATCAACGGGGACCAATCTAGCTGGTCGGAGTGCGGATGTATCAGGAGATCGGGTCGAACGGGAAGTGGTATGGGATCTGGTTCGGCTAGGTCTTGAAGGTTTATGAACCAACTTCTGGCCGGCCAATAGGGCGCGACCAAAAGCAGAGTCATCCTCTGAGTTGCGCGCAGTTTCACTAATATGTGAGGAAGAAGGGCCACTGGCGGAAACGCCTCCCACGGAAGAGATCTACTGTCGTAGTCGTCAACGGAAGACAAAGGGTCTGGAACACCTGAGGATGTAATCTCCATTCCATTGGAGAGGGACGACTCGGCCGGGACAGAAAATCTGCGATGACATTTTTCACCCCCGAAATGTGGTTGGCTGGGACTAAGATGTTGAGAGAGTCCACCAGATCGATGAACTTTTGGGTCCACTGCAGCAGTTGAGTAGACCCCGTGGACCCCATCCTGTTGATATGCCAAACCACCGCTGCGTTGTCCGATCGGATCATGAGGGAAGTTGCTCGTAGGACATCCTGCCAGTGACTGATTGCAAGAATCACCGCCCTGAACTCCAGAACGTTGATGTGACAGGCGCGATCGACGAGAGACCACAGCCCTGCCACTTGTTGATTGAGAAGATGAGCTCCCCACCCTTGTTGAGACGCGTCCACATACAGGTGGTGAGACGGAACAAACGGCCCTAACCAAACTCTGTCGCAAACATTCAATTCTTCCATCCACTACAGGAGATGGGGATGGAGCTCCAGAGGTAGAGTGATCAAGGCAACGGGATCTCCCACTCTGATGTAAGGCGCTAGAAAGAACTGCAAGGGACGAAGTTGTAGTTGACCACTGAGGGTCAACGCCTGAGCCGACGTCAAGAGGCCCAGGAGCTCCTGCCACTGACGAAGCGTTCTTGGCGAAGAAGCTGTATCGCAAACTGCATGTGACGAAGCAGAAGGGCATGATTGGTCTGTGCCTGAATGCAGTCGTCGATGTAAGCCTCGAACACTATTCCCTTGCGGTGAAGGAAACTGGTGATAGGCTTCGTTACCCGTGTAAACAGCCACGGGGCTGAAGAAATTCCGAACGGGAGGACACGCCACTGATAGTGGGTGCCCTCGAAGACAAACCAAAAAGAAACTTGCAATGAACCGGGAAGATCGGGATGCGCAGGTACGCATCCTGGAGATCCAAACTGACCATGTAGTCTCCCGGCTTGATAATGGTCTTGAGGAGTGCCACCGATACCATGCGAAAATGGGGCTGAGGCTGCAGAAACCTCTCGTTGAATATCTTCATGTTGAAGATAAACCTCAGTTTGTCCGAATCCTTATTGGGGACCAGAAAGATTGGAGAATAGAACCCCGGGACGGTCGGAGCCTGACCCAGGGATTCGATCGCAAGTTTCTTGAGTAAGGTGTCTATTGTGGATCGAAGAACAGCCGTCTGCTGAGCGGGATACGTTCTGCGATCCAGAAGTAAAGTGCGAGGAGGATCCCCGATGATTGGCAGCTGAAACCCCGTGGATAACATGGAGAGGACGTAAGGGTCTCCCAAGATGATCCAGTTGGGAGCATAGGTCCCAAGCCGGCCGCCAACTGGGGAAGTCAGAAAGGGCACGACTGGAGGTGGAAGAACCCAGTCGTGTTCCAATGTCATCAAGTCACTGTTTGTCAGGCCTTTGCTAAGTGGACTGGTTGGAACGCAGACACTAAGGGATGACGAGGCACCTCACTGAGAGCAGACGGACATCCAACTGACTGAGGCACACCCCCATGAGGCAACGATGAACCCGTAGGGTCCCTGGCATTGGAAGCAAAAGCTGAGCTGAGTGGACCCAGCGCCGAACTAGACACATGAGAGGTGAGCGCTGAACCCTGAGGAAGCGTCGAACCAAATGCCCCATGAGTCAACCTTGAAGCCAGTGAACCGGGAGCACCGGGATAAAGCGCTGAACCGGGAGCACCGGGATAAAGCTCCGAACCGGGAACACCGGGAGCAAGCGCCAAACCAAAGCCACCATGAGTAAGCGCCGAACTGGGAGCACCGGGAGGAAGCGCCGAATCAGGAACACCAGGAGTAAGCGCCGAACCAGAGGCAGACAAGAGCGCCGAACTGGAACCAAGCGGCGCTCTGAATGACATCATGGGATCGGTAACAAGCGGCGCTTTACCAACAGGTAACTGTCCTGATGTAAGCGGTACTGGAGCAGCAAATGACGCACTAGAATAACGTGGTGGTCCATAACCCAACGGTACATGATAAGGGATAGATGTGGAAAAAGGCACTCTAGGAATCATTGACACACCTGTCAACCCCACCGGGATGAGAGAGCGCCGCACCGAAACCATCCACTGCACCCGAAGCAATTGACACATTCGA